AGACAAAGAAATCTAAACACGGATGACCTACAAGAGAAGGACAAAAATGTCCATTAGACAGGGACAGACAGACCAGATTGTATCAAATATTTGTAACCCTTGGATAGGAGAGAAGGCCACCTGAGCGATGTGAACAGGGGGTTAGACTCCACTAACGCTCCAGAACAGTTAGGGCCCAGGGCAAGAGCACCATTCAGGATAGAAGGGGGCAAGCCCCTGCCAAATATGTGAAGCAAAAACTGCCACTTTTTAAAATCACATGATGAAACAGACCTTTTGAAGGGGAAGGCATTGTACCTAACATGAAATGCTTGCAATTCACAAGAACCTCTGATCAGAAATCATCTGCTCAGGATTCACGTGCTTTGCATGGGTAGGCACTCAGCAGAGCTACTGCTGATGGGTCCTGGGCCCACAGGAACCCATAGCCCAGGCTCCTGCATTGGCACGGGTTTGCAGACAGATACTCCCCAGCATTGTACATGAAACCACACATCCACAACAGAACATGTTCATCAGAGATCAATAGACAAGTGATAAGAGTGATAAGTCTCCTGCTATGCCTCCGATCATGCTGGATGCCTTGAGCTCTTATGTGTAATTTTCCTACTTTTAGGTACACAGAGTTTCATAGAATACTGCAGCGTATAACCAGAGCATGCACCTAGTGTAGACATGCTCCTTACTTCTGGAGGAATGGTTCTGACAGACACAGCCTCTGCATTCCACCAGCCTGAAACAGAGCCAGCAGCACTGCTCCAGCTATGGGAGGAGGGCTCCTTCTAGATCCACTGAGGCCTCCATCCCAAAGCTGGTTTTCCCTGGCTCTTACCTCCTTCACCATACCACCCCCTACACCCATACATCTGATGCCCCCTGTCATTCTCAGTCTCACAATGACACTATTATGTTGGTGGTTTTAAGTTGGGCACACCTGGTAATGTGACTCCTAGAAATCTGCTCATAGGTCCCATTTTTGCTAAATGTGTTGCAAGGGCTTAGACTTTGACAGATCTCACTGGAGGAAGAAGAGCAAATACTACTATTTTTATCCAAATACTAAGCAGACCACAGCAAGGATCTGACTTTAGGGTAGCTTGGTTGAATTTCTCCAGGTCTAGGGGACAAAGTATCTCATCAGCTTGCCCCCTGTAGGAAAGTAGACAGAGTCCTACAGTGCCAACAAGAAGCAGAAGGTAGGGAAACAAGGGGAAAGAGGCCTCCATGGGGTAAGGACAAGCAAGGATGACCCATCCCAATTCCCTCCACAGAATCACCAGGTAATCATCATTTCTAAGTAATGAGCCCTCTTGGAGACAGTCTCAAAGAAGGACTCAGTCAGGGCTGAGCTCTTACTCCACCTCAAAAAGCAGCATCCTGAGGCCACTGCTTGGCTGTGATGCAAGTGACAAGGCTGGAGGACGCAGACCATGCATACCCAACCTTTCCAGGGTCTGGTCACCCACATATTCTTTCCTCCATGCAGACACTGGGGACACTGAGTTCCTCTGCACGTGGGTTCAGTGTCTTCTCACCTACCTGCTCGCTTCCACCCACATATTTCAGGTGAGTGCGAGCACAGACACATGTTTCGGTCTTTCTAAATTATATTTATGGGCTTTATTCATGATCAACTTGCAGTAATATATAAAAGGGTTTTTACTCTAATTTCAGTACATGGACCTACTAAGTTTAAATTTAAACTGCATTATTGATACTGTCCTAGTTCTCTGAGTGGGTCAACTCTCATCACCAGGACCAGAAAAAGGAAGTACTGAAGTTGCCTAAATACATCTGCTGGACTTTCCAGATGGTAATCGATCAGTGACAAAGAATCTGTCCTGCACAGCTCAGCCTCAGAACCTCCCAGGATGGCAGGTTCCCTGCAGAGGTAGCCCCGGCCCTACTATCCAACACAATGGCCAGCTGCAGAACACACACCTGCCCTCTGTGTGGAAAGCATGAAAAGTATAGAAAAGTGCAAGAAACATGTCTAAAAGCACCTCCAAGCATTTTACACAAACAGCAGTATTTTCTCCTAAGCACATCTACCTATTTTTAAAACAAATGACATCAATTATATGTTCTTTCAGAACAAAGTAGTATATCTATATCTGTAACATCTGGAGAAATTTATCATGAGTTTTTTTAGCCTTTTAACATTGTGTATTGACATCCAAAGAAATCTATGAAAATCAAACATCTAGTATTCAAGATTACCTGGATTACTTTTATGCTTAGAAAATGCTTCCGCAGCTCAAAGATCAGATTAATATTTACATCGAGTAATAATAGCATATATTCATTTTCCTATGAATATGTAAGTGGTATGTATTCATTGAGGAAAATTTAGAAAATTCAGAAATTTGTGCAACAGAGATCAGCAGCAATTCCAGCTCTCAGAGACAAATGCTAAGGCTGAACTTCCCAAAGCCCTTAAATGCACATGTAATGTGCCACAAACCAGGCACACACACACTCACCTGCATTTCATGCCATACTATTTTCACATATACTGCCAGCTTTTTCATGTCATGAATCTTTTCTACGACACAAGTTGATGCCTAATGTTCTATTGTGCTGTAGAGTCCTCTATTGTTGGGCATTTGGACTGTTTCCAATTGTGAATTATTTAAGTAATGCTATAATAAACATTTTCCATGTGTAAATATAACACTTATCTGACTTTCTTCTGAATGCAAATTCATTAGAATTTTCAGCCAAAGTCGATAAATATTTTTGAAATTTTTGATACACATGGACGAACAGTCCTCCAAATGCCTCTGACAGTCAACCTCTCAGACACATGAGATGGCACCCTTGGTCTCTGATTTGTGACCACAATCCTACACTGTAAACCTTTAAAGACCCAAGCCAGTAAGACAGTCTATGATGACACACATGCACTGTCCTCATCTGTGAACAGAGGCTCAGCACCCTTCCATGTTGGTTAGTGAAATGCCTGCTCAGCACCTGACAGTGATATAACTGGGTGGAATCAGTGAGAGACAAGAGGTGTGCAGAAAGAAAGAGGCATCATTAATTTCTAGTCAAAATTTCAACAAATTTAGGTACACTGAAGAGAAAAAATTCTGGCATTTTTATATTAGAATAATTTTTAGATGGACCAAAGTATAATAGAATAAAATTGGACCAGGGTAGAACTCACTGTGATCTCAGTGTATAAAGATTTGTCTCTAGTTCTCTCACCAAAGTTAGACTCCACGAATACTCATGGACACTCTGGAGCCAAGAGTTTAGACTCTCATCCTTCTCTTTGCAGGGGTGGGGTGATTTGCCAAATAACTGCTTCCATAACTTGAGGGAGGAAAAAAAAATCACAGGGCCTGAAACATGGTGTCTGACCATAAAACAAAACATCTGGAGGCAGCCCAGATGGGTCTCCAGCCACACTGCAGCCATCTCTGCACTCAAAAGAATAAATGATCATTCTAGTTCCAAGTCTAAAACAGGAGCTCAAGCTGAACTCAAAGTCCAAATCATCTCAGAATGTGCAACCAAGTCTCCGATCTCATCAACTCACTGGTCTGACATGTGCAGCCTGCTTCCTATTGGTCTGAGATGCTACTGCTAACCTGTTTCAGTTACCTACAGAGGCAAGGCAAGAGAGGCATCGGTATAACCACTGCAACCCTACAAAGGGAACCAAAGAGGTGATGGGGAACTAAAACTGTTGTGCAGATATCTTTCAGAGGTCTAGATGCAGTAATAAATTCTGTGAACACTGCATTTTTGCACGTTTTTACTGCGTATGTGTTTAATAAGTCACTAATAAGAATAAGTCGCTAACACTACTAAAACTGGTTTTTAAAAACTGATTAGTGGGGCTGGGGATGTGGCTCAAGCGGTAGCGTGCTTGCCTGGCATGCACGGGGTGCTGTGTTTGATCCTCAGCACCACATAAAAATTTAAAAAAAATAAAGATGTTGTGTCTACCGAAAACTAAAAAATAAATATTAAAAAAAACTGATTAGTATGTGTATTTAACATATTGATCCCAGAATAAAGTACAAACAGAAGCAATGTTCTTCCTATACAAACACTTGCTGTTTCCCACTGCTGGCTGCCTTTTCATGTCCATCTGGAGATGCCAGGTCCATAGTTACATGGTTGTTGCACAATGCACTTTCTCTTGCCAACCTCGGGACGCAGTGTGTGGTGACTCTGCCTGTGGAGGTTCTGGGGTCTGGTGATCGCTCAGCTCCAGATGTATTATCGAGACTGTAGTTACACTAAAAACGTTTCCCTCTTCTGCTTCTAGAGTGACCTCTCTCTACCCATGCCCCTGCCCATTCCTCATTGTCAGCTCTCCCAGCGATGGCCTGGCTTGCACCCTCCCCTCGGTAGTCCCCATTTGCCCATGCCCATGTGGAGCCGACCCTCTCCACAGCCTTAGTCACACAGCTACGTGCTAGGGCACCACAGGCTTGCCTATCTGGTCATGGCTGAGACACAAAGGCACATACTCACTCCCTGCATTCCACCTGTGTGTTTGACACAAGACAGAACTTCCAGGAGCCAGGCTCCAGACTACTTGCCTCTCATTAGCCCCACATTGTTCTCCCTTCCTCAGCTTTCTAGAATGTTTTGACATCACAATCAGCAGCCCTGCACTACTGTTCTTTTCTAAAATTTGATAGCTACTTTTATACAAATTATTTCCTTGTGACATTTAAAAGCAGTTAATCAATCTCCATAAAATATCCTGTAGCAACCACATTCAGTTAAAAAAAATTATGTATAAAACATAGTAGGTAACCGACATCATTGGGAATGGCAGGGTAATGACCACCAACAGCTCTCCCCTCCATAAAATCAAAGAGAACACTGGGAAAAAATGGTCATAATTAACTTTTAAGAACTCTGAAAATTAATCAAGAGGTTGCAGCAATCCAAGGGTCATCTGTTCAAGGAAAAAAAGACAAACAAACAAACTGAATCTTGGCAAAAGTGGCAAGCTTTGTGGCACTGTCACTTACCCTGCGCCCATCCCCTTCCCCAGTTCCAGGAGAGCTCTGCAGTCAGGAGCAGCAGCCACAGCAGGGAAGGCGAGCAGGGCCTTCCTCCACAGCTCCAGCTCCGAGCACCTGCATTTGAAAGAGAAGGAGGATCAGTAAGCCAAGTTCCTACCTTAAGGAACAAGAGAAAACAGAGAGAACCAATCCCATATCAAGCAGATTAAAGGAAATAGCAAATGCTCAAGCAAAAATAAACAGTAGAAAAACAAGACCAAAAGCTGGCTCCTTGAAAAGAGCAACACTGAGAAACCTTTTCCCAGACTAAAAAAAGAGAAAGAGAAGACTCAACTAGGAATGAAAGCAGATGTAACTTTCAAATTTACAGAGGAAGTATTACAAGGAGACACTATGGGCAATTTACATCAACAAATTAGATAAACTAGATGAAGTGAACACATTCCTAGAAATACGTACAGATTATAAACACTGACTCAAGAAAAAATAGAAAGCTGAATAAACCCCAAGAGATTGAATGAGTAATCAAAAAACTTTCCATAAGAAACCAGGTCCAGGATCAGGTCGCTTCACTGGTGAATTATGCCAAATGCTTAAAGAAGAATTGACATCAATCCCTCACTAACTGTCCCAAAATGCAAAGGAGGAAAGGATAAATCCCACCTCACTTCATGAGGCCCATGGTTCCCAGACATCAAAACCAGAAGAGATCTCAGAGGACAATTACAGACGAATATCTCTCGTGAACAGATGCACAACTTCACAACAAAATACCAAATCCATAAATACATGATAAAAAAGAATCACACACCATCACCAAATACAATTTACCAAAAAAAAAAAAAGTTGGTTTAACTTTCAAAAGTCAATCAATGTGATATGTCATATTAAAGGAATAAAAGATAAAAATGCTTTTTTCCATTTTGTTGACTTCCGTTCTTAACCTTCTTCTACTTTTTGCTAAGTTCTCAGACACTTAAATGATGGATCAACTACAAGGCTTTTATTTATATTGTTAGAGTTGTTCAATTTTAGATATTTCCATTGGAACTTCCTCCTTAAATAGAATGCTTTTCAGTGTTTTAAAATGTCTTATATAAAAGTCTTCTTTCTCAGTAGCTTTTATTATTGAGTTCTGACTTAACTACTTTGATCAAAGAACATGGTCTGAGAGAATGTGCAACTTGCTTTGTGACCAAATACACAGACAGATTTGGGGACCGTTTTTTGTGCCTCAAGAGAATATGTGCACTATAGTTGGCCACATTTTTATATGGTGAAGACATAAAGCTCGATGTATTTACCACTAAAATCATGAATACTTTTATTTTTGTGTGTGCACTTGACTTATTGATTACTAAAAAAGGAACATCAAAATACCTCACTTGATTGCAATGAGTTAAGTTTTTTGATTACTAATTCAATTGTAAGTCAGCCATTTTTCTTCTACATTCTAAACTTTAGTTATTACACATAGATAAATTCTCTATGTACTCTGAGGTTTGGCTATTAGCTAGTCGTATACCACCTATGGTGTCTTGGTCAAGGACAGACCACACATAATCAGGAAGCCCCATCAAACTGTATTGCAGCTGCGCTGAGCATGGTGGCATACCCCTGTAGTCACAGCTGCTCAGGAGACTGAGGCACAGAAGGCTTGAGCCTGAGAGTTGGAGACCAGCCTGAGAAACACAGCAAGACAAACAACAACAGATGATAATTGAGCTAAACCGTCCCTGGTTGGCAGTGTGACAGCCGTGGCGATGCCACAGCATAATGCCATGCTCACATGGTGGTGCTGGTCTAAACAAACCTGCTGCTGCCCACTGCATCCCAGTACAGAGCTCACCACTATCTAAAGCACACAGTTCACTCTGGCAATGACAATGCCTGTTTATTGTTTACCACGCTACACTTCAGTCACTGTCTTAGAGCGCATTCTTTCTGCTTGGAAAAAGCACAGCTTGCTGTGCGGCCACCTCAGCCAGCTCCCGGATTCCAGAAGGCCCTGTTATCACAGAGGATGATGGCTCCACACATGCCACTGCCCTGAAGACCTTCCAGCAGGACAAGAAGTGGAGGTAGAAGACTGTGACACTGATGATTGTGACCCTGCACAGGCCTACACTAACATGACTGCTTCTCTTAGTTTTTAACAAATACTTAAAATTTTTTCTTAAAATTTAATTTAGAAATAGAAAAACATTTACAGAATAAGAATATAAAATACTTTTTGCAATAAACACAATATGCTTCTGTTTAAAGTGTTATTCCAAAAGTATTAAAAAGTTTTAAAAATTAAAGTTTATAAAGTAAAAAAGTCACAACGGAAAAAAAAAAAAGCTTAATATCAAATGGAAAAAAAAATCTTTTGCTGTAAAGTTAGTGTGGCCTAAATGGACAGTTTTACAAAGGCTACAGGCGTCTACAGCAAGGTCCCACCACACACCAACTCACCCACAGCCACTTCCAGTCCTGCCAGCTCCACTCATGGTGAGTGCCCTTTAGATCTGGATCTCCTCATGAGACTTCCACAGAAGCAGGCAAGAACAGGATTCACAGGACAGGGGTCTACCTATGACACAAGGGTAGCTTAAGCCTATGCACACAGAGAACCTGTGTGGAGTGGACTGGCCACATGTCACATGGCTATACATCTTCCCTGTCACCCTCAGCAGCATGGTGGGAATTAGGCAGACTCTCATCCCAGGGACCTGTGTGAATGGCCCAAAAGGAGAGGGCTCAGAGTCCTTCTGCCTGAGGTACACTTCCAACTCGGGGCCATGCAGGTGAAGCCCTCTAAAAGGCTGCCAGCAGGGTCAGAGATGGAGATGTAGGCACATCTTCAGGGTGCACTCATGGTGTGTATAAAGAAAGAAGGGACAGGCGTGCCAATGGCCTTAGTGCCAGGTAGGGTAGGGCCTTCCCTCTGCCCTCAGAAGGTGATCACTGGTGCAAGAGCCAACACTGCCACCTCCTGGGGAGAGCAGGAGAACTGAGTAGAGGACAAGCCTGTTTGGGCAAGCCATGTGGGCAGACTGGGCATGGAATCTGCAGACACGCAGGCCTGGCAGAGGGGAAGCAAGAGCAAGGTCAGAGACTCAGCCCACTCTGTCCAAACCAAAAGGAGAAGTGATCATCAAGTTGGAGGACAGAGACCTGGAAGGTGAGGCCATGGGGCTGGTTGGTAGGGTGTTTCTCAGAATGATCAAAGGAGGCCAAGGGCAGATTCTGAGCTATGGTGGCATGCCAAAATCTAAAACTATATTCCTAGTGGAAGTAATTTCCTAAAGTCTTGATAATACACTCATCCCAAAATTCCCATGTGGTCCTAGCAGCTGAGGACCTGCATGGTTCACTGCAAGGGCAGCAAGAGCCTACTATAAATTATACAAAAGAAGCAGCCTCCAAAGAAATGTGTAATCATAATGGGTAGAAGAATGTAGACCTCAAAAACAGCTCAAGCTAACAAGATGCTGACCACAAACCAACATTTCCATTGTCAGTGGGAGATATGTGGATAAGTCGTACAGTAACAAAAAAGACAGAAGAGGGTCAGTTTTCAAAAATAGCTCAAATAAAAACCTGGCAGGGCTGGGATTGTGGCTCAGTGGTAGAGCGCTTGCCTAGCATGTGTGAGGCACTGATTTCAATTCTTAGCACTGCATATAAATAAACAAAATAAAGTCCATTGACAACTAAACATATATATATATATATATATATATATATATATATATATAAAAACCTGGCAAAGTTAGTGAAGTATAGACTAGAGCAAGGAAACACAACCTCATACCTGTTAGAACTGCTAAATCCAAAAAACTGAATCTAACAAGTGCTGGCAAGGATGCAGGAACACTCCTTCATCACACATAGGGATGCAGAACAGCAAGGCACTTGGCAAGGCAGCTTGCTGGTTCTCTGTCATCTAACTGTGCTCTCACCAGACCACCTTCAGCTGCACTCCCTGGTCTCACCCACACAGGTTGAAAACTTACATTCACACAAAGGCCTGCACACAAATGATTATAGCAGCTTTATTCAGACTGCCAAAAGCTACTGCCAAAAGCTAGAAGCAACCAAAATATTTTTCAATAGGTGAATAGATAGGCAAGCTGGCACATTCATAGGACTGAGTACCATCAGTGATGAAAAGAAATGAGCTGTCAAGCTATGAAGACACAAAATAATTGTAAGTGTATGTCACTAAGTAAAAGAAGCCAGTGTAGAGAACCTATTCCAACCTATTGGTCATTCTGGAAAAGGTAAAATAATAGTGATGGTAACAGATCTGTGATCATCAGGCTCAGGGCAGGGTGAATGAGTAGAGCATGGGGGATTTTCTGGTGGTAAAAGTACTCTATATTGGTAATACTGTGGTTCCAGCTATAAGACATAAAGCAGTTATCAAAATCCATAGAATTTTACAGCATAAAATATAAACCTTAATGTACACAATTTTTACAAAAATCATTTAGGAGAATGGAAGAATCCCAAGACAGTATGTGGAATGTGATGACACAGCCTAACTGCACTAAAGACATATGAAATGTCTCACTCAACGGTGGGAAATAGGGAGCTCTGGAGTGGAGTGGCAAGGCAGCAGAAAGCCCACACAAGCACCACACTTCAGTTGGTGAAGCTGTCTCCAGGGAGAATGACTTGACAATCCCAACTCCACTGTGTGTGTCCACCAGAACCCAACCATCAAAGAATTAAGGAAAAGGATGGTGGATGATGGGAACCAACTGTCTTGTTTGGGGAGTGGGGGTTACACACAAGAACAGAGAGGCTAGAGTGATCCATGTGGCAATGAACTAGAAATGTCAGTATGAAATGATATTTAGCTTAACCTAGACACAGATGTCTACAGGTACGTATTTAGATACGTACATTGTACAGGTTAGTACATTCAAGTAGCCCTTTGCTTTGTCAGTTAGAAGGACCTAAAGCAACAAAACCCAGTAGCTACATATATATTCTGCAACCAAACAGATTGTTTCTTGTACTATCTGCTGATCAAAGGAACCAGGAATCCTTGGAGAAACAGCTAATCCTAGGATGGGGACAGGAAATTCATAAAGTAAGCCTAGACCACCATACAGTGCCTA